CATAAAACTCTCTCTTATACATGAGTTGCTGTGGATTTGTTTCTCCACAGTTCCCAGACTAATACAGAGGCTGAGGGGAAGGTGTGGTAGAAAGGGGGAACCGATTACAAGGATCTACATAGAACCCCCTCCCTGGGGGATGGACAACAGAAAAGTGGGTGAAGGGAGACGTCGGACAGTGTAATACATAACAAGATAATAATTTATAAAATATCAAGGGTTCATGAGGGGGGGCAGGGAAGGATGGGAAAACATGAAGAGCTGATACCAAGGGCTCAAGTAAAAAGAAAATGTTTTGGGAATGATGACATACAAATATGCTTGACACATGGATGGATGTATGGATTGTGGTAAGAATTGTATGAGCTCCCAAAAAAATGATTTTTAAAAGAAAAAAAATATCAACAGCTCCAAAAAAATAAACACGTTAAAAAGATCTTTGATCCACATATGTCTTTAGTAACAGATTTAAAAAACTATAAATAGTTCCATTTGCTCTCACAGTTTTATCCCTATGCTTTAAAGCAAAGAGATTACAAAGCTTATTAATACAAAAGCCAACAGCCCTTCTCTGCTGTACTTGCTATTCCCTGGGTCCAAAGGCAACCATTTTATTTTATTTTTTTAAATGTATCTATAAGTATAAATAGCAGGTGTACGTTATATTGCTAGCTCGTCATTTTTCAGGTTTGACATCTGCCCACTTCCTCTACAGTACTCTTCGCTTTTAGAAACCAGTTAAAAAATACTTTCAAATACAGGCAGTTCCCAGATTATAAATGAGGTCTGTTCCTAAATCTGTCTTCAAATAGAATTTGTACGTTAAGTCAGAAGTTAGGTGTGGTTCATATCTAACGAGTGAAATGTTTCTTACTGTGTAATGTACCTTTCTATTCATAAAGAACACACTAAAGAAATATTTTCAGATACATCAGAACACCTTTAACACAATCAGTACTGTAATAATAGTAACTACCAGTAGTAATGTTTTGATGTATGTTGCAAAGCTGTCCCCGTTTGGTATCAAGAACCATTAAATGTAGTCCAAGTTTTATTATAATGGGATTTGCTGTGATTGGTTCATAATACAGTTGTACAGAACTCAGACGATCACAACCTGGGGAACTGCTTGAACAGGCAAACCTACTGATAGTAAAGTTTAAGAAATTATAGACGGTGGTGGTTATGGCGAGGGGGACTGGAAGGAGGAGGGAAAGGAAGAAGGGGAAGGAAAATAAAAAGACGAACAATAAAACTGTACACTGAGAAAACAGTTTGCCTGATAATTATTTTTAAAAGCAATTTATGGTTGTAATTTGTGATCTAATGACGAATTCTAATCATACAGCAGCTCTCCTGAGTCTCACTGTGTGCTTAAACAGGCACTAAACACGGTGTAAGCTCATGACTTGGCAGAGACTATCAAATTTGTTTAAAAAACAAATGGGGTACACAAAACCATCTAGGGCAATCTAGCTTTTAGCTTAATAAATTCAATCTCATTATGCTAGCAACAAGAAATAACTGGTACAAAAAGAGAGAGATAACGGATACAGTTTCAAGACTTAAGTAGGTCTTTGGTACGAACTCCTTTATTGGTATCCTTTTCTGAAGTGAGAAGTGGCTGTCCTAAGGCAGTACTGAGCTCTTTTGAGAGCATTCTCGAGGAAGCAAGTGCAGCAGATTATTTTCTAGGGTTCAACATCTACTTGATGGAAATCACCTTTGAAATAGCCCACAATCCCCAACACTTACCAAATATGAGAAAGTTCAAGAATAGGGAGTTTTGACTTTGTAAAAAACTCTTTAGCTGCAGATCCTGAAATATTAAGAGAGTGGGGTTTAATGTCATTCTGAACTTACGGAAGAACAATAAGGAATGAGTCATTAGAATATTTTTTTGGTAGTGGGGGAGGGGGGCAGGGGAGATACGCTTAAATGTGTTTATGTTCTCTTTTTGGTCATCGGTGATTTTAAATGGCTTTTAGACAACAGAGTTGAGAATTATCTTCTGTCATTATCAAATACCCAGCCAGTCAAACAATGGCTGAGCCGCCGCCAAGAGGGAGGCAGTCCTGGCACATCTAGAAGAGCTCCTGGGTGGACCGACTCACCTGGAATAAATCCGTTTAGATCAGGCTGAATGGTTTTAAACTGATTTACATAATACTGTCTTTGTTCATCTGTTATTTTCCAAGGATCATCGTAACTACTGGATTGCCTACGAATTTCATTGGCAGTTGTAGCTGAGGCTACAGTTCGGACTGTTGTCTGGTCCTGTAAGGAAACATTTTTGACTCAGTACAGCATCTATGGATAGGGATATATGGACCAAGGCACTCGGTGGCTTATTTTGGAAGGTAAAACTTACTTGCTGTGGTTGTTTACAGTGTAAGAAGTCTTCCCAAACTCAGCAGCAAAGTACACATTTGTTATAGTCAGGTTATTAGATGTGTTTCGGCACAGCGATAGATAAATGTATAGAAATGACAGCAATTATGTAAGCAACAGAAAGTTATGAGGAATGTGCTAAGAAAGCCAAGCAAATATATTCTTAGATGCAAACTCTTTTAAAACTTCATTACAGGCTTAGAGATAGAAAAAAAATCGCTAAAACCTTTAGTGAAACATTCCAATGAAAGCACACTTGAAGAAAGGGCAGCTCAGAGCAGAGTTCTGTGTTCTTTACAAAATAGTAAACTTGCATTTATCAAAGTGCAACAGCAAAGTATACAAACAAGGACTGCAGCAATACCTTGAATGAAGCAAATAAAAATGCAATACCAGTAAAATGTCACACCTGGACAGAAGCAGGATGCATGGCTAAAAGAGTACTGGTTGGTGGAGTATCTGCAAAACTGACCCAGTTTTCTTGCGGTGGCGGTGGAGAGTGGCCTGACCACACTGCGTCACCAGCAGAAGGACCTGAAAGCGAAGCGCAGGCACATACTGACTCCCTTTTGAAGGGCAAATACGGAGTTTCCAAGTATTTTCTTCAGAATAAACAAAGACACACACATATTGCAAACACTTTCTTTCCAACTCAAATTCTGAAGACACTTAAACAACTACCGAAATGGAATCTTTCCCGCTCAATTAAAACATGCACACCATTTAAATCTTTAGGATTTAACTTGCACTCAGGATTCAAAGGGATGATTAATGTATTCGCTATAGTTTCAGAAACTCAAATATTCACAAGCATGTCTCTCAATGTCGTACTATTACTGAGTGTCGTCGCACTGACGCTGACCCACGGCTACCCAGTGTGACAGAGCAGAGCTGCCCCTGAAGGTTTTCTTGGCTGGTAGCATCACAGTTCCTTCTCCTGGGTTCAAACCAGAAACCTTTTCAACCAAGTGCTTTCACTGTTGGGTCACCAAGGCTCCTTGTAAGCATGGCAGATATCAAAGTAGATGTTGTGACCACTTTTCCAAGGATGGATCTACTGCTACAAATCCTCAGAGGTGACTAGCTTCAGTTTAAGGCACTTGTTTACAGTAGATCATTGTAAGCTTGGCGAGAACTTCAAGTCACCAAGACTTTAGCTCACAACCCCACTGTTACTTTTAATTCAAGAACTTCTAAATACCTGATTGTGCTTCACCAAACGGTGACCAGAAGGGCCCGGGTCCCGCAAGAGGCCTCTCACTGTTCCCCCCACTGGGATGCCGGCTGTGCTTCCTCCAGGTGTGTGGAGAGGATGGCGGGGACTGCTGCGGCGAGACAACAGGGGAGGCAGGTTCCTGGAACAAACACAGGCAGCCCCCACATTACTGACTAGGACTGTCCCTGAGTAAGTCAACTGCCGCCTTCCCAGCTGTTCAGAAGCTGCCCATGCAGCAAGTAAAGGTGATGACGATGAGGAATTTGTTGCACGTAGGGGCTGCTGGTTCCATCATTTCAAAGTGAGGGCAAATATATATAACATTAAAGGCCAAGCAGGAATTGTCCTTAAATCAGACCTTGGAGATTTAAAAATTTCAATTTTAAGGTAACATTTTAATGACAAAGCTCAGAAATAGAATTTTGGTGTAAGCAGCTGCACACAGCACCAACTGCTAACACTGACAGGGTGTGGCTACCTGCTGCTCTGAAGATGTGCGGGGCTGGACAGCGTCATGGCTGACGGATCCCTTTTTCACTTGCCCCCTGCCAGGAGGGGGGGGAATCACACCAGAATAAGACCCTGGGTTTTCGGAATCTGAAGAGTAGGAGGCTGCATGGCGAGATTCTTGCTCATTCTTTGACGCTACAAATCTTGGCAGAGGGAGGTCCTTCACTGTGAAGCACACAGATAGTTATTGCTTTAAAAGGTATAAAGGGCACACAGGCACACTAACCAATGAAACGAGATGATTAATTAGACATGAGAAATAGTGTTTGCCGAAACCAGCGCAGACATAACAGGCACCAAATGCCTAGCACTATAAAATGCAGGCCTTCGGCTACCTCAGAGTGTAGATGGACCTTAGGAGAATGAAATGGTTATAATATCAAAGGATCCTTTCATGAGAAGACAACAGTGGCCCTTTAGGCAATGTCCACTGCACGCCAGCCACCATGCTTACCACTTCATGTGAGGTCATAACCTCCTCGGCCCTGCAACGATCACAGGTAAGAAACAGAAAACTAAGGCGCTGCGGGGCCAGGGTCCCATCGGTACTAAGCGAGAGGCTCCGAATCCAGGTCTGTCCAAGCCCGATGCCTAGGGCTCTGTGCAGTACTAGGTATGCACTTCAAGTGAAGCAGAGAGTGGCACTAATGCTGACACTGCCAATGCAGAAATGTCTGCTGTACAATCTTTTCTCTTCAGAATCTGCATACCAACGAGGAAATATACTGACCTCATTAGACATTCTGTAAAATTATGTAACCCATAATTACCCCAAACATGTAAATTATCAACTGTAGGAGACCGGGGCTTTTGATACAAATTCTCACATCACATAGCACCTGGAGTTTCCTTTTCTGCGTTTGCCTGTGAAAGCTACTGCAGGATCGGCACATAGGTACTCAGCTTCCAAATGCACTGCCTTCTTGTTGGGTCTGACTCATGGTGGCCCACTATCACAGGACAGAACGGCCCCTTGTGGGTTTCTAAGACTCTTTACGAGAGTAGAAAGCCTCATCTTTCTCCCATGGGGCAACTGGTGGTTTTGAACTGCAGACCTTGTGTTTAGCAGTCCAACAATTAACTGTGGGGCAGTGAAATTTCTTAAGTTGGCTCTTTTACAACTTCCACTAAAGAACTGGATGGGACTGTGCAGACAGGGAGTGTGCGGCACTACCAGAGGGGCTTGGTCTGTTTGCACTGCTGCCCCCAGCTATAAGGATGAACCATCTTGGGAGAGAGAAAAAACCTTGAGGTCCCTGGAAGAGCACATTAAAGCTCTCTGTCTGAAGAGGCAAAGGTTGAGGAGGCCAGATACATCGGAGACCATGGCAGGGAGACTCAGCAGAGCAGCATTGAGTCTGTGGGGCACCTTCTCATCTGGCTCGAGTCTATGGAACTGGGGGGGGGGGGGGGGGCCGGGGAGGGGGGGGCAGCCGGGAAGAGGGAGGCGGCGCAGAGTTACACCTATGGGCTGGCTTCTGGGCTCATGGAGGCAAAGGCCGAGAGGGACCATGTGGCTGACACTAAGAACTGGAGAGAAAGATTTGATTGCTGGCTGAGGAGATAAATGACTAAATCACGGTTCTCAACCTGTGGGTCACAATCCCTTTGGGAGTCGAACGACCCTTTCACAGGGGTTGCCTGATTCATAACAGTAGCAAAATTACAGTGATGAAGTAGCAATGAAAATAATTTTATGGTTGGGGGGTCACCACAACATGAGGAACTGTATGAAAGGGTCACGGCATTAGGAAGGTTGAGAACCGCCGGACTAAATCCTTATTGCTTGTTGATCCTGACTTATGATAACCTATTAACTTTCCTCTTTCCTAATAAAGCTCTTTAATTGTAAGTAATGTCTGTGAGTCTGTGTGACCACTGCATGAATTGTTGAAACTGACACAGATGCAGAGTGGTGTGGAAGAACTGTTGGTATCCAAATAGCTAAAGAAGGATGGACCACAGAGGCCGGTCCTCCTGGACACCTGCCTCGTGGCAAGAGGGAAGCCAGAGGATGTCAGGTACGGCCTTGATTTCGGTTTATGGCAGTAATCCACTATGCCATCCCAGCTTCCACATGCTTGTAAAATAAATGATCCAAGGTGACCCCTGTAAGAAGGTGAGATTTCTGTAACTAGGTTTCATCTATTAATGGCTTAATATTCAGCTCTATCAATAAGAATGCTTTCGATCCATTGTTACTGTCTACCTTTTTTTTTTCCTTGTATATAATATGCCCATGTCAATGATGCCCACAGTTCATGGAGGGAACTAACAAGAGGGGTCTCATGGTTTACATAACAAACACAACATGTACACTGTGGGCAGAAAAATGTGGTAATTCCAAATGGAGCCATCACAGCAGTCCCAACATGAAAACACCAGATATGTTTACTCCTTATCAGAAAAGATAAGAATATAAAAGGCCACATTACAATGTTTAGTAAATTAATCCGCAAAAATCACCATGTGAGCACTAACAACTATGCATAAAATGTGTATCATATGCCATAAAGGATTTTAGATCTATTTAAATCTCACTAATGAGAGAAATCATGGTAATGGAAATAAAGCCGATAAGTTCATTCAATATCACAAACGTCACTGTAATACCAGTTTTATCGCTTTACTTTTTATTTCATTTGTCAATTATTTCAGTTACTGAAATATATTACTTACCTGTATTTATACTTTCTACTCTTAATGGGAAACCAGACTGAGCAACAGCTACAAGTTTCAAAGCAATGTAGAACTGACTTCTTCCAAAATAGCCAAGTCTTGTGGCACCGCACAGCTCCGTAATCTATAAAAGAACACAGCATCAGGACGGGGCTTAGGACAAACATTCACTTTGCGAGGAAGGGGCTACCACTCCTCTATCTGTGATTATTATTCCATACATGGAGTATACACCTCTCATGTGACAACCAATTTTCTTGATTTTCAACTTTGTGTGCTTAAACTGGAAAAGTTGCTGGTCTCAGAATAAGGTTACTATTCCCCTAGTTATCTAAAATCCACATGAAAAGTCATTTTATGTTATTAGAATAATTTTTCCTTTCATTGTTTTTTAAATAATATGTATATATCATATCACAAAATATTTGCCATTTTAACATTTTATGTGTACAAGGGCTTTGAACTAGTTCATTCCAGCTCCAACTTCTGACATTGTTAAAATGTAGGTTTTGATTCAGCCTGTGTTTGTGTGAAAATTCTCAGCAGGGAGATCCCAGCAGGTGTGCAATTCAATGTCATTGTTTATCACGGTCATGTGCAACCCTTAACAGAAAGTCTGTGGCCCCATAGGAATAATGTCCCCAATCCCCCTCTTTCTTGATCCTTGTGACCATTAATGAACTTTGGTTTCTATGGACTTGATTATTCTATGTATTCCATATAAGTGGGACCATACACTGTATCCTTTTATGCCTCACATATTTCACTCAGCACAATTCACATTGGAGCAAATTATCAAGACATAGTTTCTCTTTATGATTATGTAATATTCCATTCCCTGGTGCCACTGTAGGTTAGGCATTGATTGGACCACTAACTACAAGGTAGGCAGTTCCCACCCACCAGCCGCTTCATGGGCGACAGTTGAAGCTGTCTGTTCACATAACGATTTACAAAAGCCTTATAGAGGTGGCTATAAGTTGGAATTTGAATTGATGGCAGTGGGTTTGGGTTTCAATAGTCTACTATGTGTATGGATCACATTTTATTTATCTACTCATCTGCTGATGGGCAGATGAACTGGAATGAGTACACACTGGGCCATATATTTATGCTACATTTAATTTTTTTTGAGGAACCAAACAGTTTTCCACTGAAGCTACATCGTTTTACATTCCCACCAACACAGTTAAGAATTCCAGTTCTACTGCTGAGTTTTTCTTTTGCTTTCTTTTAATCACAGTGTGGTTAAAGTGGTATCTTACATGTGGTGTTATTTGCATTTTCCTAATGATTAATGAGCATCTTTTCTTGCACTTTTCGGGCGTTTGTATATCTTCTTTGGTGAAACTCAAGTCCTTTGCCTATTTGGGGGACTGGGCTGTCTTTCTGTTCTTCATACATTCTGAAGATTAACACCCTTCAGGAGTCTGGTGTCACTGTGGCTTAGGCATCAGGCTGCTAACCATAAGGTCAGAGTTCAAACCTACCACCTGCTTTTCATGAAAAAGATGAGGTCGTCTGCTCCTATAAAGACTTTATAGTGGAGCTGGAATCGAGAGCGGTGGTTTTTAGTGAGATCAGGGGAGCGCTGGTGGTGTAGTTGTTAAGAGTTTAGTCTGTGATTTAACTACCAGCTGCTCTGTGGAAGAAAGAGGGCCTTTTTATTCCCATAAAGTTACCTTCTTGGAAACCCACAGGGGCAGTTCTACCCTGTCCTTAGGGTCACTATGAGTGGGCATGGATTTGATGGCAGTACGTTGGTTTTTGGTTTGACATATGGCCCCTGGTCCAATTGTTTCCAATATGTAGATTGTCTTCTGTTAAGAGTCCTTTGTGCAAAAAGTTTGAATAAAGTCCAATTTATCTTTTTTATTTTCTTTTGTTGCTTGTGCTTTTGATGTCATTTCTACAAACCTTCTGTCAAAAACAAGCTTCCAAGGCTTTACCTCTGTTTACTTCCATGAGTTTTAGTTCTTACATTTAGGCCTTTAATTTTTACATAAATAGTGTGAGGTATGAGGTCACTCTCCCTGTACATGGAGATTCCATGTTTCTAGTTAGCCATTCTAATGAAAACCCAAAGCAAATGGCTTTAAGTGTATAATAAACAGTAATTCCTACAGATCACATGTATTTTTGATAATGCAGATTTTAGAAAGAAATCTGTATATGGTACTAGAATGCACCTATGCATTTGTGGCAGTTACACAATCTGTCAACTTGCGAAGGGGTGGGGTCTATCCTGTCAATCACATTGCAGCTTGATGACCTCATTTGAAAGCAGGAAGGAGAAAAAATAGTTCACTGGAGGCCAGATCTCCTCTCCACTTTGTCTCCCTGAGAGACATTCCTGTTGACAAGCCACATGGAGATATGCTGATGGAGCCAGAACACTGGAGCTGGAGGAGCCATGTGGAGACTCACATCAATGCTAAGGTGCTTCCGCCGCCACTGGATCCACAAGGCTTTCTACCCATTGGTCTGTGATCTTCCTGAATTCGGCATCATTGCATGTGTTGTGAGTCTGAAGTGGGATTTACAGACTGCTATCAGACATAAGGGCTGATATCGGACTCATGGACTTGATCTGGACTGGGATGTTTTCTCAGTGTACAATCACTGTTTGATAAACACCCCCTCTTACACACATACGAGTGTCCTGGATTTGTTTCTCATCAACCTAGACTAACAGCATTCAAGAACTTTAAGATAAAAATGGGGATTCTTTACTTCTGTCTAATAGAATAACACCCTCAAGAGAGTCTGTGATTTTTATTTTGTTTTTTTCAATAATGGGGGACATTTCCTTTGCTGCCAAGGTGTCATTTCATATTGGATCAGCAGCCTTTGCTTCTCTGCCTTATACACCAAGGGCTTAGATAGATAACCAAGCTTTTAAAACTATACACAGAAGAATAGTTTATTTTTTTATTTGAAAAAAGTTTTATTGGTACATAATTCATGTATCATGCAGTTCAATAGTTCAATCATACTAAAGAGTTGTAAAATCATCACCACAATCAATTTTAGAACATTTTCTTCCTTTGTGAAGCCAGTTATTAGCTCCACATAGCCCCCAATCTCTCCTGCCGTACTCCCAAGAAACCCATTAATCCAGTTACTGTGTTTATCTTGGATTGCAAATACAGAAAAACATTTAAAAAAATTAAAAAGCTAATAATATAAAGGTAAAACAGAGAAAAGACTCAATTGAAAAGAAAGCAGAAAATATTAAAAATGAGAATAAAAACAGGTCAAAGGAGATCAAGCGGCAGGTGTTCCATTTTAACCTAACTGCATCTTCAGTAATCCATTTTCCAATGCACTCTGCAAGATGACAGTGCTGCTCACCTACCCGCCTACCTTCAGAGGAGATTCACCCGAGGCTTACTCCACATGCATTTCTCCGTGTTTGTTTATTTATCTGAACATAAACGACTTTAAAATGGGTCAAAAGGAAGATAAAATCGCAAGATAGAACAATTTAACCTAACTACGTCTGCCATACTGGACTTTGCAATGCTGTCTGGAAACAAGGCTATTCACATCCCTGGACTAGGCTCAGAGGGGATTCACCTGGGGCTTCATCCTTGTGTAGACCCTGCAAATGGATTTGGGGCTTCCATGTTGTCCACTGCCTTCCGCAAACCAAGTGTTCACAATGTAAGCTTTGTTACCATTCCCTCCTTTGGATGCGGCTTTTATAAACAATAAATAGTTCCTTGGCAATGACTTGACGAGTTCTTCAACGGGCAGATTACATACGCACAATTATTTTTACCTCCATATATACAAAGGTTGGGGTGAGAATAGATTGAACATTTATTGAGCACACTTGGTGCTAGGTACAGTTCTTAGTACTTCCAAGTTCCACCGTATCTTGGAAAATAATGTAGTAGAATTGGTCTTATAAGCCACTTGCCTATTAGCAGAAGGGTCAAAAAACAAAACAAAACAAAAAGCCCACTGGCAGAATTATAATGCACATGGGTGACTTAATTTCCACCATGACATCACATCCTTTCCTCAAAAAATGTCTGCTTCCTCAGTGTGCAAACCCTTAGAAAGTGCTAACATGCTTTTTCTGCCAGTGTCTTATAGGTAGTGACAATGAAACAAACAACCCCCCGAAACCCAAATCCAATGCCATTGAGTCAATTCTGACTCATCACAACCCTATAGGACAGGGTAGAATTGCCCCGATGGGTTTCCAAGACTGCAGGAGTAGAGAGCCTCACCTCCCTCTCAAGGAGCTATTGGTGGTTTTGAACTGAAATGCTTAAGGAAAACTCTCTAATCCCATGCTCAGAAAAGTGAGGGGATGGGGGAATGTGTGCAAGGATAAAGTTATTTCTTATTGTAAGGAGAAAAGATCCAATTAAAAGTTGATGTTTAATTGTATGTATGAGTTTAAATCACAAGCTCAAACAGACAATAAGTACTCATAAAGGTATGTGTGTTAGTGCTTGACAGTAAAAGGCCTTTGGTTCTGTGGAGGCCTGTGGCAAGCAGTCAGTCATTCCACACCTCGAATGAGCCCAAACGCTATGTTGAATACTTTATACACACACACACACACACACACACACACACGCGCACGCACGCACGCACGCACGCACGCACGCACGCACACACACAAGCGCACGAGAGTCGGACCACACTGAGCCATCAAGGTGACTCCTACCAGGAAGACAGGGAGAGGCCGTAGCCATGATCAATCTCCCTGACAAACTGGGGAAGGGAGATAATGGGTATAGCGCATCTGGTGGACGGGCTCAAACCATGATGTATGTAACCTATGATACCACAAGGGCTCCCCATTCCTTCATAGTTAAACTAATGGCTATTAATTGCTTCTTGAAAGATCACGGACACAAGTTTTATGGTAATGACAGAAGGGTTTTGTTTTGTTTTCTAATTGATCCAACAGGCTGAGATGGAGGACAAATAAATGATAATTGTCATCTTATCCACATGCTTTAGCTCTGAGAAGACACCCCTAGGTCATGTTCCCTAATCATCCTCAGTGTGTGTGTCTGTTACTGTACAGATTTACGGCCTCAAAAACCGACAGGGCCAGTTCTACTCTGTCCTATAGGGTCACTATGAGTCTGCAATGGC